ACACACAGACACACACACAGAGACACACACAGAGACACACACACACAGACACACACACAGACACACACAGACACACACAGACACACACACAGACACACACAGTGACACACACACACAGACAGACACAGAGACACACACACAGACACACACAGAGACACACACAGTGACACACACACAGACACAGAGACACACAGGTACTTAGACACACTTAGTGGGTGGGTGGGTGAGTGCGTGAGTGAGTGAGTGACTGACTGAGTGACTGAGTGAGTGACTGACTGAGTGACTGACTGACTGACTGAGTGAGTGACTGACTGAGTGACTGACTGACTGACTGAGTGACTGAGTGAGTGGCTGACTCACTGACTGACTGAGTGACTGACTGACTCACTGACTGACTGAGTGACTGACTGACTGAGTGACCGAGTGAGTGAGTGACTGAGTGAGTGAGTGATTGACTGAGTGAGTGAGTGAGTGACTGAGTGACTGAGTGAGTGACTGAGTGAGTTGGTGAGTGAGTCAGTGGCTGAGTGAGTGAGTGACTGAGTGACTGACTGACTGAGTGACTGACTGAGTGAGTGAGTGACTGAGTGAGTGACTGAGTGAGTGATTGACTCAGTGACTGAGTGAGTGAGTGACTGAGTGACTGACTGAGTGAGTGAGTGAGTGACTGAGTGACTGACTGAGTGAGTGAGTGACTGACTGAGTGACTGACTGAGTGACTGACTGAGTGACTGACTCACTGACTGACTGACTGAGTGAGTGACTGACCGAGTGACTGACTGACTGACTGAGTGAGTGACTGAGTGAGTGACTGACTCACTGACTGACTGAGTGACCGAATGACTCACTGACTGACTGAGTGACTGACTGACTGAGTGACCGAGTGAGTGAGTGACTGAGTGAGTGAGTGAGTGACTGAGTGAGTGAGTGAGTGACTGAGTGAGTGAGTGACTGAGTGACTGAGTGAGTGACTGAGTGAGTTGGTGAGTGAGTCAGTGGCTGAGTGAGTGAGTGACTGAGTGTCTGACTGACTGAGTGACTGACTGAGTGAGTGAGTGACTGAGTGAGTGACTGAGTGAGTGATTGACTCACTGACTGAGCGAGTGAGTGACTGAGTGACTGACTGAGTGACTGACTGACTAACTGACTAACTAACTGACTAACTCACTAACTAACTAACTAACTCACCAACTAACTGACTAACTCACTAACTCACTAACTAACTCACTAACTCACTAACTAACTCACTAACTAACTCACTAACTAACTCACTAACTAACTAACTCATTAACTAACTAACTGACTAACTCACTGACTAACTAACTAACTAACTCACTAACTAACTAACTCATTAACTAACTAACTAACTAACTAACTAACTCACTAACTAACTAACTAACTCACTAACTAACTAACTCATTAACTAACTAACTGACTAACTCACTAACTAACTAACTAACTAACTCACTAACTAACTAACTCACTCACTAACTAACTAACTAACTCACTAACTAACTAACTAACTCACTAACTAACTAACTCACTAACTAACTAACTGACTAACTCACTAACTAACTCACTAACTAACTCACTAACTAACTAACTCATTAACTAACTAACTGACTAACTCACTGACTAACTAACTAACTCACTAACTAACTAACTCATTAACTAACTAACTGACTAACTCACTGACTAACTAACTAACTCATTAACTAACTAACTGACTAACTCACTAACTAACTAACTAACTCACCAACTAACTGACTAACTCACTAACTCACTAACTAACTCACTAACTCACTAACTAACTCACTAACTAACTCACTAACTAACTCACTAACTAACTAACTCACTAACTAACTAACTCACTAACTAACTCACTAACTAACTAACTAACTCACTAACTAACTAACTCACTAACTAACTAACTAACTAACTAACTCACTAACTAACTAACTAACTCACTAACTAACTAACTCATTAACTAACTAACTGACTAACTCACTCACTAACTAACTAACTAACTCACTAACTAACTAACTCACTAACTAACTAACTAACTAACTCACTAACTAACTAACTAACTCACTAACTAACTAACTCACTAACTAACTAACTAACTAACTCACTAACTAACTCACTAACTAACTCACTAACTAACTAACTCACTAACTAACTAACTGACTAACTCACTGACTAACTAACTAACTCACTAACTAACTAACTCATTAACTAACTAACTGACTAACTCACTGACTAACTAACTAACTAACTCACTAACTAACTAACTCATTAACTAACTCACTAACTAACTAACTCACTAACTAACTAACTAACTGACTAACTAACTAACTAACTCACTAACTAACTCACTAACTAACTAACTAACTGACTAACTAACTAACTAACTCACTAACTAACTAACTAACTCACTAACTAACTAACTCACTAACTAACTAACTGACTAACTCACTGACTAACTAACTAACTAACTGACTAACTAACTAACTCATTAACTAACTAACTGACTAACTCACTGACTAACTAACTCATTAACTAACTAACTGACTAACTCACTGACTAACTAACTAACTAACTCACTAACTAACTAACTCATTAACTAACTAACTGACTAACTCACTGACTAACTAACTAACTCACTAACTAACTAACTCATTAACTAACTAACTGACTAACTCACTGACTAACTAACTCATTAACTAACTCACTAACTAACTAACTCACTAACTAACTAACTAACTAACTAACTCACTAACTAACTAACTCATTAACTAACTAACTAACTAACTCACTAACTAACTAACTAACTCACTAACTAACTAACTCACTAACTAACTAACTCACTAACTCACTAACTAACTCACTAACTAACTCACTAACTAACTAACTCATTAACTAACTAACTGACTAACTCACTGACTAACTAACTAACTCACTAACTAACTAACTCATTAACTAACTAACTGACTAACTCACTGACTAACTAACTAACTCATTAACTAACTAACTCACTAACTCACTAACTAACTAACTAACTAACTCACCAACTAACTGACTAACTCACTAACTCACTAACTAACTCACTAACTCACTAACTAACTCACTAACTAACTCACTAACTAACTCACTAACTAACTAACTCACTAACTAACTAACTCACTAACTAACTCACTAACTAACTAACTAACTCACTAACTAACTAACTCACTAACTAACTAACTAACTAACTAACTCACTAACTAACTAACTAACTCACTAACTAACTAACTCACTAACTAACTAACTGACTAACTCACTAACTCACTAACTAACTAACTCACTAACTAACTAACTCACTAACTAACTAACTAACTAACTCACTAACTAACTAACTAACTCACTAACTAACTAACTCACTAACTAACTAACTCACTAACTCACTAACTAACTCACTAACTAACTCACTAACTAACTAACTCACTAACTAACTAACTCACTAACTCACTAACTAACTAACTAACTCACTAACTAACTAACTCACTAACTAACTAACTCACTAACTCACTAACTAACTAACTAACTAACTCACTAACTAACTAACTCACTAACTAACTCACTAACTAACTAACTCACTAACTAACTAACTAACTCACTAACTAACTAACTAACTCACTAACTAACTCACTAACTAACTAACTAACTGACTAACTAACTAACTAACTCACTAACTAACTAACTAACTCACTAACTAACTAACTCATTAACTAACTAACTGACTAACTCACTGACTAACTAACTAACTAACTGACTAACTAACTAACTCATTAACTAACTAACTGACTAACTCACTGACTAACTAACTCATTAACTAACTAACTGACTAACTCACTGACTAACTAACTAACTAACTCACTAACTAACTAACTCATTAACTAACTAACTGACTAACTCACTGACTAACTAACTAACTCACTAACTAACTAACTCATTAACTAACTAACTGACTAACTCACTGACTAACTAACTCATTAACTAACTCACTAACTAACTAACTCACTAACTAACTAACTAACTGACTAACCAACTCGCTTTGCCACAGCGTCTCACCGCTTGTGAAACTCGACGGGTTTCCCAGCCCACAGAGTGCACTGAGTGACTGAGTGAGTGACTAAGTGACTGAGTGAGTGAGTGAGTGTCCGAGTGAGTGAGTGACTGAGTGAGTGACTGACTGACTGACTGAGTGAGTGACTGAGTGAGTGACTGAGTGACTGAGTGACTGACTCACTGACTGACTGACTGAGTGAGTGACTGACTGACTGACTGAGTGAGTGACTGAGTGAGTGATGGACTTACTGAGTGAGTGAGTGCGTGACTGAGTGACTGACTGAGTGACTGAGTGACTGACTCACTGACTGAGTGAGTGACTGAGTGAGTGAGTGACTCACTGACTGAGTGAGTGAGTGTCCGAGTGAGTGACTGACTGAGTGACTGACTGACTGACTGAGTGAGTGACTGAGTGAGTGACTGAGTGACCGAGTGACTGACTCACTAACTAACTCACTAACTAACTGTCTCACCGCTTGTGAAACTCGACGGGTTTCCCAGCCCACAGAGTGCACTGAGTGACTGAGTGAGTGAGTGACTGAGTGAGTGAGTGAGTGACTGACTAACTGAGTGACTGACTGACTGACTGACTAACTGAGTGACTGACTGAGTGACTGACTGAGTGACTGACTGACTAACTAACTCACTAACTAGCTAACTAACTCACTAACTAACTGTCTCACCGCTTGTGAAACTCGACGGGTTTCCCAGCCCACAGAGTGCACTGAGTGACTGAGTGAGTGAGTGACTGAGTGAGTGAGTGAGTGACTGACTAACTGAGTGACTGACTGACTGACTGACTAACTGAGTGACTGACTGAGTGACTGACTGAGTGACTGACTGACTAACTAACTCACTAACTAGCTAACTAACTCACTAACTAACTGTCTCACCGCTTGTGAAACTCGACGGGTTTCCCAGCCCACAGAGTGCACTGCTCCGATATCGGAAGCGTTGGGGTGGCCGGCGACGCCTTGTCCGACGTTTCGAGCACGGGCACAGTCTCGAGGCACTGTGCACGGCTACTTCCGCTCAGCGAACAGCAGGAGGACAGCCTTGGACAGGTCGCGACGAAAGACTGCTCCAAGCAGAGCTCATCATCAACCGTGTAGCGCTAGGGATTGTGTGGGGAGAGAGACAGTTAGTTAGTCAGTCAGTCACTCAGTCAGACAGTCAGTCACTCAGTCAGTCACTCAGTTAGTCACTCACTCAGTCAGTCAGTCAGTCACTCAGTTAGTTAGATAGTTAGTTAGTTAGAAGTCGCGATGAAAGACTGCTCCAGGCAGAGCTCATCATCAACCGTGTAGCGCTAGGGATTGTGGGGAGAGACACAGTTAGTTAGTCAGTCAGTCAGTCACTCAGACAGTCAGTCACTCAGTCAGTCACTCAGTTAGTCACTCACTCAGTCAGTCAGTCAGTCACTCAGTTAGTTAGATAGTTAGTTAGTTAGAAGTCGCGATGAAAGACTGCTCCAGGCAGAGCTCATCATCGACTGTGTAGCGCTGGGGATTGTGTGGGGAGAGAGATACAGTTAGTTAGTCAGTCAGTCACTCAGTCAGTCAGTCAGTCAGTCACTCAGTCAGTCACTCAGTCAGTCACTCAGTCACTCAGTTAGTTAGTTAGATAGTTAGTTAGAAGTCGCGACGAAAGACTGCTCCAAGCAGAGCTCATCATCGACTGTGTAGCGCTGGGGATTGTGGGGAGAGAGATACAGTTAGTTAGTCAGTCAGTCACTCACTCAGTCAGTCACTCACTCAGTCAGTCACTCAGTTAGTTAGTTAGTTAGATAGTTAGTTAGTGAGTTAGTTAGTTAGTTAGTGAGTTAGTTAGATAGTTAGTGAGTGAGTTAGTTAGTTAGTGAGTTAGATAGTTAGTGAGTGAGTTAGTTAGTTAGTTAGTGAGTTAGTTAGATAGTTAGTGAGTGAGTTAGTTAGTTAGTGAGTTAGTTAGTTAGTGAGTTAGTGAGTTAGTTAGTTAGTTAGTGAGTGAGTTAGGTAGTGAGATAGTTAGTTAGAGGTCGCGATGAAAGACTGCTCCAGGCAGAGCTCATCATCGACTGTGTAGCGCTAGGGATTGTGGGGAGAGACACAGTTAGTTAGTCAGTCAGTCACTCAGTCAGTCACTCAGTCAGTCACTCAGTCAGTCACTCAGTCAGTCACTCAGTCAGTCACTCAGTTAGTCAATCAGTTAGTTAGATAGTTAGTTAGTTAGAAGTCGCGATGAAAGACTGCTCCAAGCAGAGCTCATCATCGACTGTGTAGCGCTAAGGATTGTGGGGAGAGAGAGACAGTTAGTTAGTCAGTTAGTCACTCAGTCAGTTACTCAGTCAGTCACTCAGTCAGTCACTCAGTCACTCACTCAGTCACTCAGTTAGTCAATCAGTTAGTTAGATAGTTAGTTAGTTAGAAGTCGCGATGAAAGACTGCTCCAAGCAGAGCTCATCATCAACCGTGTAGCGCTGGGGATTGTGGGGAGAGACAGTTAGTTAGTCACTCACTCACTCAATCACTCAGTCAGTCAGTCACTCAGTCAGTCACTCAGTCAGTCACTCAGTCACTCACTCAGTCACTCAGTTAGTCAATCAGTTAGTTAGATAGTTAGTTAGTTAGAAGTCGCGATGAAAGACTGCTCCAAGCAGAGCTCATCATCAACCGTGTAGCGCTAAGGATTGTGTGGAGAGAGAGACAGTTAGTTAGTTAGTTAGTCACTCAGTCAGTCAGTCAGTCACTCAGTCAGTCAGTCACTCAGTCAGTCAGTCACTCACTCACTCAGTCAGTCACTCAGTTAGTCAATCAGTTAGTTAGTGAGTTAGTTAGTTAGTTAGAAGTCGCGATGAAAGACTGCTCCAGGCAGAGCTCATCATCGACTGTGTAGCGCTGGGGATTGTGGGGAGAGAGAGACAGTTAGTTAGTTAGTTAGTCACTCAGTCAGTCAGTCAGTCACTCAGTCAGTCAGTCACTCAGTCAGTCAGTCACTCACTCACTCAGTCAGTCACTCAGTTAGTCAATCAGTTAGTTAGTGAGTTAGTTAGTTAGTTAGAAGTCGCGATGAAAGACTGCTCCAGGCAGAGCTCATCATCGACTGTGTAGCGCTGGGGTACGTGTGGGGAGAGAGAGACAGTTAGTTAGTCAGTCAGTCAGTCACTCAGACAGTCAGTCACTCAGTCAGTCACTCAGTTAGTCACTCACTCAGTCAGTCAGTCAGTCACTCAGTTAGTTAGTTAGTTAGAGGTCGCGATGAAAGACTGCTCCAGGCAGAGCTCATCATCGACTGTGTAGCGCTGGGGATTGTGTGGGGAGAGAGATACAGTTAGTTAGTTAGTTTAGTGACTCAGTCAGTTACTCAATCAGTCAGTCACTCAGTCAGTCACTCAGTCAGTCAGTCAGTCAGTCAGTCAGTCAGTCACTCAGTTAGTTAGTTAGTTAGAGGTCGCGATGAAAGACTGCTCCAGGCAGAGCTCATCATCGACTGTGTAGCGCTGGGGATTGTGTGGGGAGAGAGATACAGTTAGTTAGTTAGTTTAGTGACTCAGTCAGTTACTCAATCAGTCAGTCACTCACTCAGTCAGTCACTCAGTCAGTCACTCAGTCAGTCAGTCAGTCACTCAGTCAGTCAGTCACTCAGTTAGTTAGTTAGTTAGTGAGTGAGTTAGTTAGTAAGTCAGTTAGTTAGATAGTTAGTGAGTGAGTGAGTTAGTGAGTTAGTGAGTTAGTGAGTGAGTGAGTTAGTTAGTTAGTGAGTTAGTGAGTTAGTTAGTTAGATAGTTAGTTAGTTAGATAGTTAGTTAGTTAGAAGTCGCGACGAAAGACTGCTCCAAGCAGAGCTCATCATCGACTGTGTAGCGCTGGGGATTGTGTGGAGAGACAGTTAGTTAGTCACTCACTCACTCAATCACTCAGTCACTCACTCACTCAGTCAGTCACTAAGTGAGTCACTCACTCACTCACTCAGTCAGTCACTCAGTCACTCACTCAGTCACTCACTCAGTCAGTCAGTCAGTCACTCAGTTAGTTAGATAGTTAGTTAGTTAGAGGTCGCGATGAAAGACTGCTCCAGGCAGAGCTCATCATCGACTGTGTAGCGCTGGGGTACGTGTGGGGAGAGAGAGACAGTTAGTTAGTTAGTTAGTGACTCAGTCAGTCACTCACTCATTCAGTCAATCAGTCAGTCACTCAGTTAGTCAGTCACTCAGTCAGTCAGTCACTCAGTCAGTCACTCAGTCAGTTAGTCACTCACTCACTCAGTCAGTCACTCATTCAGTCAATCAGTCAGTCAGTCAGTCACTCACTCACTCAGTCAGTCACTCAGTCAGTTAGTCACTCACTCACTCACTCAGTCAGTCACTCACTCACTCAGTCACTCAGTCACTCCCTCAGTCAGTCAGTCACTCAGTCAGTCACTCAGTCAGTCACTCAGTCAGTCACTCAGTCAGTCACTCAGTCAGTCACTCAGTTAGGTAGTGAGATAGTTAGTTAGTTAGAGGTCGCGATGAAAGACTGCTCCAAGCAGAGCTCATCATCGACTGTGTAGCGCTGGGGATTGTGAGGAGAGAGAGATACAGTCACTCAGTCACTCACTCACTCACTCAGTCAGTCACTCACTCAGTCAGTCACTCAGTTAGTTAGATAGTTAGATAGTTAGTTAGAGGTCGCGATGAAAGACTGCTCCAGGCAGAGCTCATCATCGACTGTGTAGCGCTGGGGTACGTGTGGGGGGAGAGAGACAGTTAGTTAGTTAGTTAGTCACTCAGTCACTTAGTCAGTTAGTCACTCAGTCAGTCACTCAGTTAGTCAGTCAGTTAGTTAGTCAGTTAGTTAGTCTCACCGACCCACCCACTCACTCACTCACTCACCCACCCACCCACCCAATCACCCACTCACCCACCCACTCACTCACCCACCCACCCACTCACTCACCCACTCACCCACCCACCCACCCACTCACTCACTCACTCACCCACCCACCCACTCACTCACCCACCCACCCACTCACCCACTCACTCACTCACCCACTCACCCACTCACCCACCCACTCACCCACCCACTCACCCACTCACTCACCCACCCACTCACCCACTCACCCACCCACTCACCCACCCACCCACTCACCCACTCACTCACTCACTCACCCACTCACCCACTCACCCACCCACTCACCTCCTCCACTAGACACCGATCTGAGTGACCCAGCTCGCAACATTTCTCTGCAAGGACCTCGAAGCGGTGAGCAAGCTTCTGGATCAGCTCGAATGGAGCCTGAGGAGCCCTTTGGGTGAACCTCACAATCATCCTGCAGTGTGACAGGGTGGGTGGGTGGGTGAGTGAGTGGGTGGGTGGGTGAGTGGGTGGGTGGGTGGGTGAGTGGGTGGGTGGGTGGGTGAGTGGGTGGGTGAGTGGGTGAGTGGGTGGGTGAGTGGGTGAGTGGGTGGGTGGGTGGGTGAGTGGGTGAGTGGGTGGGTGGGTGGGTGAGTGAGTGAGTGGGTGAGTGGGTGAGTGGGTGGGTGAGTGAGTGAGTGGGTGGGTGGGTGAGTGGGTGGGTGAGTGGGTGAGTGAGTGAGTGAGTGGGTGAGTGAGTGGGTGGGTGGGTGGGTGAGAGAGTGGGTGGGTGGGTGAGTGAGTGAGTGGGTGGGTGAGTGGGTGGGTGAGTGAGTGGGTGAGTGGGTGGGTGAGTGGGTGGGTGGGTGAGTGTGTGAGTGGGTGGGTGGGTGGGTGGGTGAGTGAGTGGGTGGGTGGGTGAGTGAGTGGGTGAGTGGGTGGGTGAGTGAGTGGGTGAGTGAGTGGGTGGGTGAGTGAGTGGGTGAGTGGGTGGGTGGGTGGGTGAGAGAGTGAGTGGGTGAGTGGGTGAGTGGGTGGGTGAGTGAGTGAGTGGGTGGGTGGGTGAGTGGGTGGGTGAGTGAGTGAGTGAGTGGGTGAGTAGGTGGGTGAGAGAGTGGGTGGGTGAGTGAGTGAGTGAGTGGGTGAGTGAGTGAGTGAGTAGGTGAGTGGGTGAGTGAGTGAGTGAGTGGGTGAGTGAGTGAGTGAGTGGGTGAGTGAGTGAGTGAGTGGGTGGGTGGGTGAGTGGGTGAGTGAGTGGGTGAGTGGGTGAGTGGGTGGGTGAGTGGGTGAGTGGGTGGGTGAGTGGGTGAGTGGGTGAGTGTGTGAGTGAGTGGGTGAGTGAGTGAGTGAGTGGGTGGGTGAGTGGGTGGGTGAGTGAGTGAGTGGGTGAGTGGGTGAGTGAGTGGGTGAGTGGGTGGGTGAGTGAGTGAGTGGGTGGGTGAGTGGGTGAGTGAGTGGGTGAGTGGGTGGGTGGGTGAGTGAGTGGGTGAGTGAGTGAGTGAGTGGGTGAGTGAGTGAGTGTGTGAGTGGTGAGTGAGTGGGTGGGTGGGTGGGTGAGTGGGTGAGTGGGTGAGTGGGTGGGTGGGTGAGTGAGTGAGTGAGTGGGTGAGTAGGTGGGTGAGAGAGTGAGTGAGTGGGTGAGTGAGTGGGTGAGTGGGTGAGTGGGTGAGTGAGTGGGTGGGTGAGTGGGTGGGTGGGTGGGTGAGTGAGTGGGTGGGTGAGTGGGTGGGTGAGTGGGTGAGTGGGTGGGTGGGTGGGTGAGTGAGTGGGTGGGTGAGTGGGTGGGTGAAAGAGTGGGTGGGTGAGTGAGTGGGTGAGTGAGTGGGTGAGTGGGTGAGTGAGTGGGTGGGTGAGTGGGTGAGTGAGTGGGTGGGTGAGAGAGTGGGTGGGTGGGTGGGTGAGTGGGTGGGTGAGTGAGTGGGTGGGTGGGTGAGTGGGTGAGTGGGTGAGTGAGTGGGTGAGTGGGTGAATGGGTGGGTGAGTGGGTGAGTGGGTGGGTGAGTGGGTGAGTGGGTGAGTGAGTGAGTGAGTGGGTGGGTGAGTGGGTGGGTGAGTGGGTGAGTGGGTGGGTGGGTGAGTGGGTGGGTGGGTGGGTGAGTGAGTGGGTGGGTGAGTGTGTGAGTGGGTGGGTGAGTGGGTGGGTGAGTGGGTGGGTGGGTGGGTGAGTGGGTGAGTGAGTGAGTGAGTGAGTGGGTGAGTGAGTGAGTGGGTGAGTGAGTGAGTGGGTTGGTGAGTAGGTGAGTGAGTGGGTGAGTGAGTGAGTGAGTGGGTGGGTGAGTGAGTGGGTGGGTGAGTGGGTGGGTGGGTGAGTGAGTGGGTGAGTGGGTGGGTGAGTGGGTGGGTGGGTGAGTGGGTGGGTGAGTGGGTGAGTGAGTGGGTGAGTGAGTGGGTGAGTGAGAGAGTGGGTGAGTGAGTGGGTGAGTGAGTGAGTGGGTGGGTGGGTGGGTGGGTGAGTGAGTGGGTGGGTGAGTGAGTGGGTGAGTGGGTGGGTGGGTGAGTGAGTGGGTGAGTGAGTGAGTGGGTGAGTGGGTGGGTGGGTGGGTGAGTGGGTGGGTGAGTGGGTGAGTGGGTGGGTGAGTGGGTGGGTGAGTGAGTGGGTGGGTGAGTGGGTGAGTGGGTGAGTGAGTGGGTGGGTGAGTGAGTGAGTGGGTGGGTGGGTGAGTGGGTGAGTGAGTGGGTGAGTGAGTGAGTGGGTGAGTGAGTGGATGAGTGGGTGGGTGGGTGGGTGGGTGAGTGGGTGGGTGGGTGAGTGAGTGGGTGAGTGAGTGGGTGGGTGGGTGAGTGAGTGGGTGGGTGAGTGAGTGAGTGAGTGGGTGAGAGAGTGGGTGAGTGAGTGGGTGGGTGAGTGGGTGGGTGAGTGGGTAGGTGAGAGAGTGGGTGGGTGGGTGGGTGAGTGGGTGGGTGAGTGAGTGGGTGGGTGGGTGAGTGGGTGAGTGGGTGAGTGAGTGGGTGAGTGGGTGAGTGGGTGGGTGAGTGGGTGAGTGGGTGGGTGAGTGGGTGAGTGGGTGAGTGAGTGAGTGAGTGGGTGGGTGAGTGGGTGGGTGAGTGAGTGGGTGAGTGGGTGGGTGGGTGAGTGTGTGGGTGGGTGGGTGAGTGAGTGGGTGGGTGAGTGTGTGGGTGAGTGGGTGGGTGGGTGAGTGGGTGGGTGAGTGGGTGAGTGAGTGGGTGAGTGAGTGGGTGAGTGAGAGAGTGGGTGAGTGAGTGGATGAGTGAGTGAGTGGGTGGGTGGGTGGGTGAGTGAGTGGGTGGGTGGGTGGGTGGGTGAGTGAGTGGGTGAGTGAGTGGGTGGGTGAGTGGGTGGGTGAGTGAGTGGGTGGGTGAGTGGGTGAGTGGGTGGGTGGGTGGGTGGGTGAGTGAGTGAGTGGGTGAGTGAGTGGGTGAGTGAGTGGGTGAGTGGGTGGGTGGGTGAGTGAGTGGGTGAGTGAGTGAGTGGGTAAGTGGGTGGGTGGGTGGGTGCGTGAGTGGGTGGGTGAGTGGGTGAGTGGGTGGGTGAGTGGGTGGGTGAGTGGGTGAGTGGGTGGGTGGGTGGGTGAGTGGGTGGGTTAGTGGGTGAGTGGGTGGGTGAGTGGGTGAGTGGGTGAGTGGGTGGGAGGGTGGGTGGGTGGGTGGGTGAGTGAGTGAGTGGGTGGGTGAGTGGGTGAGTGAGTGGGTGAGTGGGTGAGTGGGTGGGTGAGTGGGTGAGTGGGTGAGTGGGTGAGAGAGTGGGTGGGTGGGTGAGTTGGTGAGTGGGTGAGTGAGTGAGTGAGTGGGTGAGTGGGTGAGTAGGTGGGTGAGAGGGTGAGTGGGTGAGAGAGTGAGTGGGTGAGTGAGTGAGTGAGTGGGTGAGTGGGTGAGTAGGTGGGTGAGAGAGTGAGTGGGTGAGTGAGTGAGTGAGTGGGTGAGTGAGTGAGTGGGTGAGTGAGTGGTTGAGTGGGTGGGTGAGTGGGAGGTGGGTGAGTGGGTGGGTGAGTGAGTGAGTGGGTGAGTAAGTGAGTGGGTTGGTGAGTAGGTGAGTGAGTGGGTGAGTGAGTGAGTGAGTGGGTGAGTGAGTGAGTGGGTGAGTGGGTGAGTGAGTGGGTGGGTGAGTGGGTGAGTGGGTGAGTGAGTGGGTGAGTGGGTGGGTGGGTGGGTGAGTGGGTGAGTGGGTGGGTGAGTGGGTGAGTGGGTGGGTGAGTGGGTGAGTGGGTGAGTGAGTGGGTGAGTGAGTGGGTGAGTGGGTGAGTGGGTGGGTGAGTGGGTGAGTGGGTGGGTGAGTGGGTGAGTGGGTGAGTGAGTGGGTGAGTGAGTGGGTGGGTGAGTGGGTGAGTGGGTGGGTGGGTGAGTGGGTGAGTGGGTGAGTGAGTGAGTGATTGAGTGGGTGGGTGGGTGGGTGAGTGGGTGGGTGGGTGAGTGAGTGGGTGAGTGGGTGGGTGAGTGAGTGGGTGAGTGGGTGAGTGGGTGGGTGAGTGAGTGGGTGGGTGGGTGAGTGGGTGAGTGAGTGGGTGGGTGAGTTGGTGGGTGGGTGGGTGAGTGGGTGGGTGGGTGAGTGGGTGAGTGAGTGGGTGGGTGAGTGGGTGAGTGGGTGAGTGGGTGGGTGGGTGAGTGAGTGGGTGGGTGGGTGGGTGAGTGGGTGAGTGGGTGAGAGAGTGGTTGAGTGGGTGGGTGGGTGAGTGAGTGGGTGAGTGGGTGAGTGGGTGAGTGAGTGAGTGGGTGAGTGGGTGAGTGAGTGGGTGAGTGAGTGAGTGGGTGAGTGAGTGAGTGAGTGGGTGAGTGAGTGAGTGAGTGGGTGAGTGGGTGAGTGAGTGAGTGGGTGAGTGAGTGAGTGAGTGGGTGAGTGAGTGAGTGGGTGAGTGAGTGAGTGGGTGAGTGGGTGAGTGAGTGGGTGGGTGAGTGGGTGAGTGGGTGAGTGAGTGGGTGAGTGGGTGGGTGGGTGGGTGAGTGGGTGAGTGGGTGGGTGAGTGGGTGAGTGGGTGGGTGAGTGGTTGAGTGGGTGAGTGAGTGGGTGAGTGAGTGGGTGAGTGGGTGAGTGGGTGGGTGAGTGGGTGAGTGGGTGGGTGAGTGGGTGAGTGGGTGAGTGAGTGGGTGAGTGAGTGGGTGGGTGAGTGGGTGAGTGGGTGAGTGGGTGGGTGAGTGAGTGGGTGAGTGGGTGAGTGGGTGGGTGAGTGAGTGGGTGGGTGGGTGAGTGGGTGAGTGAGTGGGTGGGTGAGTGGGTGGGTGGGTGGGTGAGTGGGTGGGTGGGTGAGTGGGTGAGTGAGTGGGTGGGTGAGTGGGTGAGTGGGTGAGTGGGTGGGTGGGTGAGTGAGTGGGTGGGTGGGTGGGTGAGTGAGTGGGTGAGTGAGTGAGTGGGTGAGTGAGTGGGTGAGTTAGTGGGTGAGTGGGTGAGTGAGTGAGTGAGTGGGTGAGTGGGTGAGTGAGTGAGTGGGTGAGTGGGTGAGTGAGTGGGTGGGTGGGTGGGTGAGTGGGTGAGTGGGTGAGTGGGTGAGTGAGTGGGTGAGTGAGTGAGTGGGTGACTG